TCAAAGTAATTTGAATTGCAAGTTGATGGAAATAACAATTATTAGCATCAATTGAACACATTACTGAATGGGGTTAAGTTATTGCATTTTCAGTCCATTGCTCTGCAAGGAATAATGCCCCTATCATTCATGTACTACAGTGCAACACTAACACAGGATTATAGCAAGACGTAGTTGAAAAGATCATCACATCATTGAGAATCAGCTTTCTTTCCTTGTTTTCTCTTTGAAGCTATGTGACAAACAAAAAGTCTACATATGAAGATACATAGATGAAATACAGAACTGACTTAGACAAATCTCAGTACCTGTATAGATTTTCCTTACACAATAGAGGACGGTATTATGTAGCTTGCTAAGGCTTTAAATGGCTTAGATTACTATACCAGCTTCACCACTTACTGAATGACCTTTGGTAAGAATTTAACCTATGTCTCAGTTTCGCAGTCTATAAACTTGTGCCAACCTCACCAGGTCAATGTGAAAATAAAATGAGATAATACATATAAAACACATAGACTAAACATAAACAATGGTTAAGAGCTTTGCAATAGTGATTGCTAATATTTATTGAAAGGTTATTACATGTCAGACATTGTTGCAAGTGGCTTGAATATTACTATTATCTCTGTATTACAGATAAAATAACCCAAAACACCAAAGGTAAAATCACGTGTCCATCATTACATAGCTACTTAGGTATAAACATGGGGTTTTTATCCAGACAGTTTAAATACAGAACCTATCTCCATTCTGAATATACGCTGCTTCTGAACTCACCAAAAAAAAAAAATTAGAAAACATAAATATGAAACATAAAAAGAGGATTTAATTCTATATATAACCCAGAGATAATTAGATTTGAATATTCTTTCTTAATAGTATTTTTTGGGGGTTACATATTTTTCTTTTTCTTTAATTATACTTTAAGTTCTGGGATACATGTGCTGAACGTGCAGGTTTGTTACATAGGTGTACATGTGCCATAGTGGTTTGCTGCTCTCATCAACCCATCATCTACATTAGGTATTTCTCCTAATGCCATTCCTTCCCTAGACATCCACCCACGACAGGTCCTGGTGTGTGATGTTCCCCTCCCTGTGTCTATGTGTTCTCATTGTTCAACTCCCACTTATGAGTGAGAACATGTGGTGTTTGGTTTTCTGTTCCTGTCCCAAGAAACTACCAGCTTCATCCATGTCCTGGCAAAAGACATAAACTCGTCTTTTTTATGGCTACATAGTATTCCCTGGTGTATATGTGCCACATTTTCTTTATCTGGTCTATCATTGATAGGCATTTGGGTTTGTTCCAAGTGTTTGCCATTGTGAATAGTACTGCAATGAACATACGTGCACATGTGTCTTTATAGTAGAATGATATAGGATTTTTTTCTAGAGTTTTATGTATATATATATTTCTCAAAATATGATGTTTTTTTGAAACTCAGAGTATTTAAAAATCAATTCTTTGCTTGATTTAAAAGGAAATAGAGTGAATGAATCACACTAACAACAACTGGTGAAGACTCTTTGGTCATCTTAGTTTGAAGTAGAATTTTCTTATTTATCTGGAAGTTTTCAAATTGAGCAACAATTTTCATTATTATCTAAGTGATTATAAATGAGCTCTTGGAACATACTGAATATTGCAGCTTAAAATGTCGATAAAACATTTCTCAAGGTGCCAAAATAACAAAACAAAAGCAAAAGTAAGTAAACAAGCCTTTGGATAAGGCAGAATTCTAAAGTCTTAAATCATTAAAAATGCACCCCAAAATGAGCCACATGTTTAGCTCTTACATAAAATACTATGTATACCAAGGTCCAGCATAAATTTAAAAGATGAGAAATTAAGAAAATTTTAATCATAAAATTATAAAAGTAATAAAAATTAAAATTCTTAGTATATTTGTCAGAGACATGAGTGGATAATAAAACTGAATGGCCTTTAAACAAAAAGATAAAATATAGAATCTGTTAATTAACAAAATAATACATGCAGATGGCAAATATAAATATGAAAACAGCATATTAGCAGTTGAACTGCAGATTAAAATATTATAATCCTATCAGATTAGTAAAGCATGTGTATTCACACTTTTGATACTAACAATAAGAATGCTAGACAGTTGTGAATTTTACACCACCAATGCTAATGTAAGACGATATATACAAAAGCATCAGTCAGATTTTAAGGGTATCTTCCAAGACAATTGCCCTATCTCTCTCTGCCTACAAACAGCTGAATGTATCCAGGACAATCTCACCCATTCATAAGTGTGGGCCACTGGGGGCCATGTTTGTACTTCTGGAACTCACCAAAAAGTCATAGCTAATAAGAATATTTCCCATGGCCTGGTGCAGTGGCTCACACCTGTAATCCCAGCACTTTGGGAACCTGAGGTGGGTGGATCATTTGAGGTCAGGAGTTCAAGACCAGCCTGGCCAACATGGTGAAACTCCGTCTCTATGAAAAACACAAAATTTAGCCGGGTGTGGTGGCAGGCACCAGTAATTCCAGTTACTTGGGAGGCTAAGGCAGAAGAATCTGTTGAACCCAGGAGACGGAGGTTGCAGTGAGCCAATATCACGCCATTGCCCCAGCCTAGGTGACAGAGTGAGACTCTGTCAAGGAGGGAAGGAAGGAAGAAAGGAAGGAAGGGAGGGAGGGAGGGAGGGAGGGAGGGAGGGAAAGAAAGGCCTGAGATTTTTGAGGTGACAGAGTCAGAGAGGTATGCCTCATTTTCTATTCAGTTTCTATGGCCTGACTTGCTTGTTTTCTGTGGGTGCCAAGAAACTCCTGCGTCTCTTGATAACAATTCTTTTTTGCTCGACTTATTCCTGATATTTTACGTCAAAATCATGCTATAATTAAATATTTAAAAAGGCAAGTTGGTAATGTTTTCAAGATGTTAAAAATTTGTAAGACTTAAGCTTCATAATTCCACTTCTAAGAATGTATCTTAAAGGAGTACATTCAAAATAATTCTATGGATATCTTATATAGTAGAAGACTATAATAGAAACATTTATTTCCTGGCTTTACCTCATTTTAACAAAGCAGGTATTTAATTTTTAAAAATCATTATGGAAGAAATTCTAAGATTGCTCTTTAAGAATTTTTAGATAGCATGGTAAATTACTGGGAAAATTTTGTATTGTTTGCTAGGCAGGATTTATGGTGCTTCATAAAGTGTCTTCAGTATACTTCACGAAGTGTATTTTTCAGATACTTTGCTGTCATATTCCAATGATTTTATATAACAATAGTAAAATTATTAAGAGAAATTTTCAAATTCTATTTTCTATATCATTTAACTTAATTTTTAACATATATAATACCCAATACACAGTTTTACTTAATTATCTTAACAGAAGCTCCTTATAGACATACTGAAAACCCACTTTTTGTATATGTGACGCCTGAAAATGATCAGTACTCTGCAAGAGTGTAATGATGCTTTGATTACTTGAAACCATCTCATTAGAGAACATTAATAGGGCTTCAAAGATACAGAATTCAGAATGAAAAAAAATGGTCACTTTCAGAATAAGTATTTTCAATCCATATCTAATGTTTTGGGCAAGCTCTTACATATTTTCCTTCAAAATACCAGCCACTTATTGACAAAGTGTTCAATTTTTTAAAAATGTGTTATCAATATTTATATTAAATTTGACACAAAGCAACCAATTCCAAGTTACCTTGAAACGTTCCGTCGTACAAAATGAGTGTCTACTGACATCGGGAATATGTATTCCTGTCTGGTTACTTCTATTTGGCATATTACTTTAGTATACATTCCACAGATAGTATTTTTTTTTACTCATTACATACATAAATCATGATCATTGTAAAATCTGGATGCTGATGTTTGTGCCTGAAGTCGTTGTTTGTAGCGTAATGTGTTTTTATTCTCATATAAAGGAAGTACATCTCATGTGAGAAGTTTGCATCTAGTTAGCGGCTACCATGGTTACCTCAGGCTTTATGTCAGAACCCCCAAGATTTCAGCCTCTGGCAGAGTGTAGCTGAGTGATCTCGGCAAGGTGCGAAACTCACATAGATGTTGTGAGGTTTGCATGACGTAACTGTATAAATACTGAGAATATTGTCAGCCTCTAGTAACAGCTAACCAAGTGTTGGGGTCTTAAAGAGCAAATTGAAATTGAGGTAAAATACAACTATCCATATCTTACTTGTATTTGAGTTTGGTGCAAAAGTGATTGCGGTTCTTGCCACGGTAGCAAGAACCGCAATCACCTTTGCAACAACGTAACGATACTATATTTTATCCACATTTCCCCATTTATAGTATAGTAAAACATATCGATCGTTATAGTTTTTAAAAGCTGTACATTGTTAGTATGAATCAGTAACTGACAACGTTTTCTCATATTTAGTCTTTTACGCTTCTCTCAGTATAACCTTAAATATTCAGTTTCTTAAAATTGTGTATAATACTATGCAAGTCTTTTGTTTCATGTGGTTTTGCTTAATGAGAAGTTGTTAAAAAAGAAAAATATCTCATATTTATACATTTGCAATTTTGTTAGTAGCAAAAAGACACCTACTGTTTTTCAATTCATTGTGGCATTAGTATTTTTTTTTTTTTTTGAGGGACACATTTTCAAAGTTGTTGATTCCTCTCTAAAAGATCTAAACTACTGAAGTTGTCAAATAAGGTTTCAGATTTCTCCCTTCCCCCTCCATCTATACCCCAGAATCAGCTCCCTTCTCTGCCGTGGATTATGTTTGGGTGAAAAGGGAAGACAGTTCAGATTGATAAAGCAATACTCCTGGGAAGAAACCATTAACATGTATAAAGGGATTTCCTTGCAATATAAATACTAGCGCGCACCCTCCTGGTGCCTCAGAGCCTTCCTGATGTATATATGCAGGTAGTGAGAATTGAATCGGCCTTTTGAGACAGTAATATAATAAAACTCTGATTTGGGGAGCAGCTGTTCTTCTTATTTTTCTACTCTCCTGTGGGAATGAGTTGCCAATCTTTTCCTTCGGCTGATACCTTTATACCTCTGAATTCTGACGCCTCTGCAACTCTGCCTCTGATAATGCATCACAGTGCTGCCGAGTGTCTACCAGTCTCCAACCATGCCACCAATGTGATGCCCACAGGTACTGACGCTTTCACAGTTTACATATGGCCGGGCCTAAAGATTTCAGAATGAATGCTTTGAATCTGGATAGTTAATGATCTCTTTGCATCTTTCATTTGACCCCTCCAATTTGATTTGTCTCAGGTGAAATAGTAAGCATATCTAAAAAGCCAACATGCCGAAGAATTTTTTAAAGAAATATTAAGTATAGTAATTTAAATCGTTGTTGGCTTTGTTATAATGAAGAAAATCTGTTTCCACATAGGGAAAGTGAACTTGGACATTTCAAATCTAAAACGATTTTAATTGAAATATTTATAGAATAAGAAGCAAATGAAATGAATATTATAACATAATGTAATATTTAAAAGGTGTTATTTCTTTATCTTAAGGATTTATTTGGCTGTTAGATTACATTTACTACTTCCTAAAGACAGGTATAGATTAAATTAAACACAATGGAATAATCCAAATATCAACAACAATGGATTTCATGGAAAAAATAATTGAGTTTTAATAAACATATTTTTAGTATGAGACACAGAAATTATAGCCAGAAATAGCATGGCATTTAAAGTCCATTAACTAAGGTAAATTTTCTCAATTGCGTTCTGAAGAGGCTGCTTCATTTCTAAACAAGTTTTAACATTGGTTTTAACTTTTTAAAAAGTTAGGTGACTTTTAACTTCTTAAAACATTTTTAAAGTTTTAACATTTTAAAAAGTTATGTAACCAAGTCACATAATTTTTAAAAATAAAAAATAAACTTGAGAATTCAAAATTTCAAAAATTAAACTTGAGAATTATTGTCTCAACACAATCAGCCATATACGTATGTTTTGCCAGTGTGTTCATTTTTATGCAGTCACAAAGTGTTTTAAAGTTGATTTACAAACAAAGACTTCAATTGAATAATTTTTTTCCATTAAACAACAATATAATTGCTGAATGCTTTGAATCTTGATAGTTAATAATCTCTTTGCTTCTTGCATTTTACCCCTCCAATTTAATTTGTCTTAAGTGGAACAAACTTTCCATTTGTTTCAAATGCAATCTGTCTCATATTTAGGAATATAATAAAATTATGTATATTTATAAATCAAATTTGAGTTGATACTTTTATATTCTGATTTGAAGGATTTAAGCTGTATCTTTTATTATAATTAAGCTCTTTCCAAATATATGTGTAAGTTTGGCATCAATCTTCTGCTGAATTTTAAAGAATCTAGAGAACAGATATTTGGACTTTGGTAAAATCATTAAATGTAGATATTTTTCAAATATCTGGTCCAAATCCACCAGATTCCCATAATTTAATTTAAAAGGTGATGCTGGAAGTATCCTCCAACATAATTTTTGCAAAAGACAATAAAGCATTTTTATCAAAAAATGCATGCTATAAATAAATCTAAGAAATTACCACATATCTAATCATTTAATTTAAATAGTATGTCATTCTATAAATTGAGAATAATGAGAATAATAGGTTATTTCTGTGTTTGAAGATAATATGGACAGCATGAAAATGAAATTCAGAATTGAGGTAATAATCTAGAAAAATCTAATTTTAGGCTCAAAATGCCATTTATTTATTTAAAAATAAGTAACAATGTATTTAGTCAATTAGCCTATCTTGTATTTAACTTCCTAAAATCTGAAAAGCAAAAATTAAAAAAAAAAATAAAAGTGATTTACAAATGTTTTAAATGATAATAGCATTGATTTATAATATTTTAATGAAATTATAATCATCTATAAAAATGTCTAAGGAACTATAATAGAAATACTGGCTTTAATGGGAACACTTGAGTATTAAGTGTGTTTAATGATAATTTGTTTAATTTTAGAATGCACAGTAAGACTTGTATATGTAATCATTATATTGCAAAATAACTTTAGTTCTTTTGACTTATTAGTTATAAAATAAAAAATATAGAGAGATATTTAAAAATTAAAGATTATTCTCTATTTTGAAATAATATATTTTACTTTATGAAGAGAAGGCATGTGTTTAATTACTAGATTGTATATCAGTATTCTCAAAGGAATCTAACTCTGTACTTTATAACCTCTCATTTATTCAAGAAGATAGTTATATTTATGAAAATTAACCAATATATTCAGAATATAAAGGAAGAAATTGACAAAATAAAATATATAAGAAAATATTGACCAGTGGTTTTATTGTCAATATTTTATGCTCCCTCTGAACTTGATGATTTTTGTTTAAAACTTGATAAAAGTCTAATAATTCCAATTTACTTTCAAAATACACATTAATTTCATGAAGCATATAACCATTTATAAACAGTTACGTTTATATACGGCTTTATGGATAAGTCACTCAATCAATGAACTTATTTTTTGACCGGTTTTATCATTAGAATGGTTGTATCAATTGTGCATATATAGAAAACTTACAATCTCATGATTTCAACATCAAAATAAATAGATCATATATTGTCACAGGTTTTAATAGCACTCTGAATGTGGTGAGATTGTTAAAGGCTAGTTGCTCTGCCATTTCCACTCGAATGAAACAAATTTGTTAGAGAAATAAGGAAAAATACATTGTTCAAGAGTTAATTTCTGTATTCATTCATACAGACTGCTTTGTAATACCATGAGACGCAAGAATTTTAAGACTATTTTTCTAGTCAAGGAGTTGCAATGTCTGCATTGAAGAGAACCCACAAGAATTCTGCAACTCCCGAAGAGCCAAGGTCCAAATTGGTCAGTCACCCCTTGATGGCGCACTGGTAGCCACAGCACAGAGCACAGGATAATTAATCAAGTCCATTTTGATGACTTATTATCTTGTTATATGAGACCAACTTTGATCCCCCCCATTTTAACCTGCTCATCGGAGAACTTCCCCCAAATGAGAAAAAAAAAAATCATTGGCATATAACTTTAAGACCCACATAACTGTGTACTTTTGAGATAAAACGAATGTGTCTTGAATCCTCATACATTTTCTCACCAGTCCCATCTATTTTGTCTTTGACCCAAACTCCTGAATGTTTGCGCCCACATTTCTCGTGACAACATTGGGAAACAGCAACGGGACTTCATTATTCTGTTCCTTCCTGTCATTATGGAAACCAGCCATCAGCCTATGGAGTGATGGCAGGTAAGAAAAGTTGTCTTTTACATGTTATTGAATTTGGGGACAATTACATGTATTTTCTGGGCCCGAAAGAATTGTGATCAGAGTGAGACATGAAATTCCGATTTCTTAACTTTGAAAATTATTGTTAAAAATTACCACTTCTTCAGCACTTTGGGAGGCCGAGGCTGGTGGATCACGAGGTCAAGAGATCGAGACCATCCTGGTCAACATGGTGAAACCCCGTCTCTACTAAAGATACAAAAAATTGGCTGGGCACGGTGGTGCGTGCCTGTAATCCCAGCTACTCAGGAGGCTGAGGCAGGAGAATTGCCTGAACCCAGGAGGAGAAGGTTGCGGTGAGCCGAGATCGCGCCATTGCACTCCAGCCTGGGTAACAAGAGCGAAACTCCGTCTAAAAAAAAAAAAAAAAAAAAAAAAAAAATAATTACCACTTCTTGTTTCATGCTCTGTAACATCTTCATAGACCATAGGGATTGTGTCTAATTTCCCTACACACATAACCCTGAACTGCTGTGCTTCTTAACGCTTACGTTTGCTTTGTATGGTTTTTAATCAAATTCACAATTGTCAAACTGTTAGTTGTAATTTGGTGCGATTGGGAGGCTTACCTGCAGTAAAAAAATTAGTGGCTACTAGCCTCGTGTGGCTATTTAAATAAAATAAGATTTCAAATCTGGTTTCTCAGTTGCACTGGCCACATTTCAAGTGCTCAGTAACCACATGTGGCTAGCGACTACCATATCAGACAGCACAGGTTTACAGAACACCCACTTCATCATTGTATTTCTTCCAACATTCGGTCCATAAAGATAAATAAGACATTGATTGAAGCTAAGAGTGATTGGCAGGGGCTTTAGTCATAGCTGTTTCAGGCTTTAGCAGCCCTTTCTGAATTGCTTCTGAGTGAGTCTTAACTGAGATTGAAATCATTGAAGTGACATACTTTCCTCCTATACATAAGTGAGGTATGACTGTATCAAGTATAGCTACCTGTTTATTGATCCTTATATGAAGGCATTGAAGCACAGTTTTGGGGAACGGGCAGATCTGGCTTATGAGATCTATTTCCCAAAAATTCTTGCTCCATTTCATGGCATCGCCACATAAAAGATTCTAATCATTTAAAAAGGTGCACAGTTTTATTATGCATGGGATTTTCACTTGTTTATTTTTAAAGAAATTATTCTATATTTTACATGTTTTGCTACAGCAGGGAAAGAACTCTTATTAATGACAAACTCAAACTGTGATAAAATGTGTGTGTATGAGTGTGTGTGCCTGGTACGGGTGTGTGTGTGTGTGATACTGGGGGAGAAACTGTGCATGAAGGAATCACCTATTCGTGAAATCTTTTCTAATTGACTTGTGTTTTTCTTATCATCCAGATAAGCAGTAAAGAAACAAACAAATATTGATTTAGCCCTATAATTTTGAAGTAAAACGGAGCAAATAGTCTAATTTTAATTAAATTGTTTGATCTTTGATGTCTCAAAATTTATTCATTTAAGACTAAATAAAACATTAGAACTTAAAATAATAATTCAGAAAAATGTTAGCTTCTCCTACATTCTATCAGTCTCCTACTGATTCTGAATAAACCAGTATTCTCATATTTATGGTTAAATGAGGACTGGAGTTCTTAACAATGATCTGTAAATCGTGATGTCTTTTTTTTTTTAATCATTAAGAAACAAAGAAAGCCATTTTTTTCTCTCCCAGACAATTGATTATTTATGATCAACATGTTTAATTAGTATTTATGGTTAATGAGAATAGGCCTCATCGATGATGAACTACTTTCATTATAAAATAGTAAAATATGTGCATTTAGCTGCTGGAGGTGAGGGTGGAATGATTTCTGTGGCCTTTACAACATTTTGATTATGAGACAGGAAATGGCAAACGCATGCTGCTGTTGCCTGCGGGAAAGGCCTTCGAGGAACTCCCAGAAACCGAAGTACGTCTTTAGTTTCTCTCTTAACCCAAACAGAAAGGCAGTCCCTGCCAGTCCATTAAGGTTGGCACCAAGATTAAAACCAATCACAGACCAGCAGCCAATAATCTCTTGCTCAAATACCTTCAGATAAATTTTGCTACCACCTCCCACCCCGCCAAATCAGAGAGGGCCACCGGCTGGGCCTCAGGAGTTTGCAGCTGGCCTCAGAATCCTCACACCCTTCCTGCTTCCAGGACGGGAGCCATTGTGCCAATGTTCACATTGAGCGTGTTGGTAGCTCATGTCTTTCTGATACATGTTTCCCCAAGCAGGAGCTCAGCAAACCCTCTACCATGAACCTCTTCCTCATGACAATTAACATGAAAAGACCATCGGATGAGCCTTTCAAAATGATTCAAAATCCTGGCTTAGTGACATCAAGAGCAAAAGACTTACACCAAGGTGTAGAGGCATCACTGCTGTCTTAAAGTTAAATATATTTCGTGACTGAAAGAAAAATGCACCATGACAAGCACAGAGATATTTGAATATTTTTGAGAAGGATTTTGTTAAAATGTGATATGCTTTAAATGTTAGAATTTCTATATTTGGACATAATTCAGTATTAGCATTTGCTTCATGAGAGATTAAATCTTAGAGAATCTAAACTCTCCTGCTTTTATCTCCAGAAAAGCTGCACAAATTGAGTTACAAAATACAGGAATTCAGACATAAGAGAGAAAAGGTATAAAGTACACAATAGAAGCCTGATTATGTCATTTGAATTTTCTGAGAAGTCTTAGGGCATTAATCGGATCAGCCACTTTCACGCAATCCACAGAAGTGTCTTAAAAACAACGACAGGGTGTCACATACTCTACATAAAAGTGAAGTTACAGAAAGAGCTATATTTTAAAGAATGTGAAATTACTTTATTTTCATATGTTATTTCATTATCCATACTCTTGCTTACATTTAGTTTGAGCAGTTCATTATATTAATAACCCATCAGAAAAGAAGAGATATAACTCATATTTTGTCAGGTTGGTAGGCAGAATTTTAATTATCAGATGAATTCACTGTACCTAATAGTCGAGATGCAAAAAAAATTTAAAGAGAATGGCTAATTGGGAGTAATTAATTATCCATGCCATTAATTAATTACTAAATTTGTTTAAGTGATGACTCTGAGTTTCAGTCTCTTCATGTCTAAGCTGTGGTGGGTACTACCACTCTACTGGGGTTGAGTAATCAGTTTGTGTCAGCTCAACGTGATTTCTCTTTTGATCTTCTCTTCAGATACTCCTGCAGCCAAATTCCTTCTGTCTCTTCACTCCTGAGAGTTTAGAGAATTCAACACCTTATAGTACAAATAATAGAAAACGGAGAATTACAAATGCTGTTCAAAGTCTCTTCTTTGAACAAAACAAAAGAAACTTTGAAACAAAAGCAAACAAAATATCAACAAAAGGTTCTCAAAACTCTGTCTCTTGGGTTTCTGAGATTGTTTCCGTTCTCCAGTATCTGAAGCACAGTAAATTCAGAAAACTAGCTCAATGGGTCTTCACCCTTTCCGCTGTCCTGTGGAAACAGCAAATGAACTTCAATGTAATGAATGTTAAACCCACCGTCTTTAGATGATATAATGACCAATCCACGAAGTGGTGTGAAAATCCTCACTTTAAAAATCAATTTCAAGGGAAAAACAAAACAAAACTCTTGGGAATTAAGCCGATGAGCATCCAGTTGTTTGTTATGACAAGTGGATATTAAAAGAAAAGATTGGTATGGCTGAAAATATTCTCACTGCCTGGGTTAATACAGAAGAAAACAGGAATCAGCCTGATAGTTGACAGGGGGCAGTAGTCTATTTTGGAGCCCATCTTTTCATTCTTTGAAATTTGATTTTTTTTTTTTCCTTAATTTACTTCTTTTCCTTGGTTCTTTGTTTTATTTGGCCCTAAATTGTTCTGGTTGTAACAATTCTAAGAAAACAAGTAATTCTGAAGATCTTTTGCTTCTGCGTCATGAAAGGTCTTTGGTAGCATAACATGATGTGTTTTCACGTCTGGAGGAGGGATGGAAAACCCTTTCCTGTAAAGATCCAGACAGTAAACATCCCAACCTTTCTAGTCTTTGTTGTAATTACTCAATTCTGTCACTAGCAGGAAGGCAGTCACAGGCCCTCTGTAAACAAATGGGCATGGCTGTATTTAAATTAAACTTAATTTACAAAAAACAGGCAATGGGCCCCTGTTGTAAGTGGATAGGATTTGCCAATGAACAAAAATGAAAATATCACAGCGGAAGTTTATAATTTCCTTTGAATTTTCATGCACGAGGAACTAGGGGGAATATATAGGCACATGTTCCTGTACATGTTACAGCACAGCAGGGTGGTGTATTTTACTACGTCTCTCTGCTTCCTGTTTTAATTTATTTATTTTTTATTATTTTTATTTTTAGATGGAGTCTTGCTCTGTCACTAGGCTGGGGCATAATGGCGAGATCTCAGCTCACTGCAACCTCCGTCTCCCGGGTTCAAGCGATTCTTCCGCCTTAGCCTCCCGAGTAGATGGGACCACAGGCATGTGCCAAACGCCCAGCTAATTTTTGTATTTTTAGTATATACGGGGTTTCACCATGTTGGCCGGGATGGTCTCGATCTCTTTACATCATGATCCACCGGTCTCGGCCTCCCAAAGTGCTGGGATTACAGGCGTGAGCCATCGCGCCTGGCCTTCCCCTGTTTTTTTAAGGCATCAAGCCTGTAACCTGAGATGTTGTCAGCTAACCACATGCTGCAAAGATCAATCTGTCCCCGGCTATGGTACACTGAGTCAGCTCCCAGTAAGGCAAGCCCCATGTCTGAGCCCCATTGCCTGCTTTAAAAGATTTACTTCTGTTCTTCTCCCTCCTCTGTCACACAGAAACACATACACAGCAATTTACAAAGGCTCTGGTGAATTAACGTTCAGTGTGCAAATGTGAACAGTTAGAACTGTAGTGTGCAAACACTTCTGAGCTGTGTGTGTGCTGTCCAGGCCTCAAAATAATTTTTCTTTTTATTTATTTTTATTTTTGAGATGGAGTTTCGCTCTTGTTGCCCAGGCTGGAGTGCAATGGCGCGATCTCAGCTCACCGCAACCTCCCCTCCTGGGTTCAGGCAATTCTCCTGCCTCAGCCTCCTGAGTAGCTGGGATTACAGGCACGCACCACCATGCCCAGCTAATTTTTTGTTTCTTTAGTAGAGACGGGGTTTCACCATGTTGACCAGGATGGGCTCGATCTCTTGACCTCGTGATCCACCCGCCTTGGCCTCCCAAAGTGCTGGGATTACAGGCGTGAGCCACCGCACCCGGCCCATAATTTTTCTTTATCCATGTTTCAGAGAATGTTTGAGAATGTTTGAGACCACCGTTGCACACGACTCACCACGTCTTTTATTTTCTTCCTATTTTTTTCAGTAATCTAGGGTTTAAAAGGATTTGAAAAATATATTGCTATACATATCATCCCAATCGCTCTCCACACTCACCCAAATGCAGGCGCAGATGATAGATCAGAAGTTCGTTTGTGCTTTTAAATCATTGTGATTAAATTCTGTGTGAAGTGAGTTCCAGGAAATCTGTGACACTGCAGATAATTGTAGATACTTTCATATAATGAAAAATAAAGGTGGGCCGGGCACGGTGGCTCTTGCCTGTAATCCCAGCACTTCGGAAGGGAAAGACGGGGAGATCACCTGAGGTCAAGCATTCAAGAGCTGCTCAGCCAACATGGTGAAACCCCGTCTCTACTAAAAATACAAAAATTAGCGGGCATGGTGGCAGGAGACTGTAGTTCCAGCTACTCAGGAGGCTGAGGCAGGAGAATAGCTTCAAGCTGGCAGAGGTTGCAGTGAGTTGAGATCACATCATTGCACTCCAGCCTGGGGGACAAGAGCAAGATTGTCTCCAAAAATAATAATAATAATAATAAAAAATAAAATGTATCACACATCACATTTTCTTCTTTGACTCTGGATGCCAAATCTTGTAACATGGTATTTTCTGTATACTTTTCATAGATTCCATTCAAATTTTTTTTCTGTGCGGCCATTTTCCCAGAGTATCTATAATATATAAACTACCTTTAAATTTTTGTGGGTGGGTGCTGTGGCTTATGCTTGCAATCCTGGCGCTTGGGAAGCTGTGAGTTTGAGACCAGCCTGGACAACATGGTGAGATCCCGTCTGTGCAAAAATTTTAAAAAATTAGATGAGCATGGTAAAGCATGTCTGTAGATGCTACTCAGGATGCTGAGGTGGGAGGACGGCTTGAGCCCAGAAGTCTGAGACTCAATGAGCTACAGTTTTACCACTGCACTCCAGTCTAGGAGACAGAGTGAGATCCCATTTCTAAAAATAATAAATAAATAAACAATTTTATGGAAATAGGGATGACATCCTTTATACCTTTTTATTATAATATTTTTGTCTAAAAGCATTTGTTTAACATAGCCAAAGGTGTTTAAATGCAGAGCAAACCTTTTAAAGAGAAGTTATTTAATTTACCTCAGTACAGACTGCCTGGACAAATGAACCAGGCAGTTACTCTGATGTGGCTTCCTGCAATGCTCATTAGACTTCAGTTCCGGTTTAAACTGCAAAGTTAATCCGTTGGGCACTGGAGGAAAGTTACTTCATTTCTTTCTACTTAAATTTCCTACATTGTAAATTATGAGAAAAAAAGTATCTTTCCTAACTCATTTTTTGTATAAAAATACAGAAGATGACAAAGGTGAAATTAACACAACGCAAAGTGTTGCATGAAAGATTTGTAGCAGTACATGATTATGATCAGCAAGAAAAATTGAAAGTAATAATCAAATGTGATAGCAAACCTTATGATATGCTTATGTAAAATACGCACAATTTATATAAAATAAACATAATTTAACATAGGTTAAATGAGTTATTGAAAGTGGCTTAAAATATGTTAAATGTACAAAAATCTAACAGTAGCCTGGATTTTCTTTATACTCTTTCTCAGGGTTATTTTATTATTAAATTTGTTAACCGATGCCTGATATACCTAAATAATGAAAGAAGTGAAGGTTTTATAAATACATGTGAGAATCAGTTCTGGAAGCATAAGCACAGGTCTTCAGATAAGTATTAAATAAATGTCATCAGTTTTCTTTTTACGTCTATTAGTTCTTCTTTTAATTTAGAAGAAAATTAAAATGAACAAAAAGCAAACAATGAACCAACAGGCAACAAACATTTTGAAGAAAAGCTATATAATAATAGTTGGTAAAATTGCTTTTAAAATGTTCCCTGGTCTGAGCCAGATGCCACACAATGAAGCAAAAGCATGGATAGTTAACTGACCTTTCCAAAAGTGAACCTGGGTAATTGTGGGTTCTAAAAGGAGCAGGAATGTTAAAGGCAAAAATAGCTCCTTTCACATCTTTTTCCCAGCTTTAAAGCGGACAAATTTATTTTATGCTAATTTGTTTAATCTCTCATTTATATTTTTACTTTGCTTTAGAAAAATTATATATCCGATTACATGGGGTGCACTTTATAATTACATACTCTTATATAAATAATATAAACCAATAATTTGCTGAGTTTTGCCTTCTTTGCTCATTACATATTGATATATTAATGTAAGATTTATGTATTCTGGAAAAATATATTATTACTCATGTCTGAGTTGAGAATGTATGTGTGGAGAAATTATAGGTAGCATGAACTCTTGATGCATTTTTTTCAGTAAGTTTCTAAGAATAATTATTGCATGTATTCCATAGTAATTTATTTTAAAATATTTATTTATACTTCTAAGATAATGATTAATCACTCAATATTTTTATGTAAAAATGTCTTTCTTATACAATCATCCTTAGATATATGTGGGATGTTGGTTCCAGGACTCTGAAGAATACCGAAACCTTTAGATGCTCAAGCCTCTGGTATAAAGTGATGTAGTATTTCTTTATAACCTAGGCAGATCCTCTCCTCTAAATCACGTCCAGATTACTTGTAATATCTAAATCGGTATAAATGCTATGTAAGTTATCATTATACTGTGTTGAGTTATTTGTATCATTTTTATTTTTCTGTTGTTATTTTTCAGGAAAACTTCTCAGCAGAGCACTTAGCCAAAGCATGTAGTGCCATGATTACAACAAACCTCACAGATTATTTGTTCAATCAATTGAGGAAACAGAGTTCAATACATAGATTCTGCTTGGAGTTCAACCTCAGATTCCCAGGAAGAGGGGCCATTCAAGAGAAAAAAAATGATAGAAAATGTACACTCTGAAAGAAGTTGCTTCTTTTTATTTTAGTTATTCGCAGTCCCCTGCTTCTTCCCTTTAACCCTATCTTTGTCTTTTGCTGCTCTGGAGAAGGTAGAAGATAAATGATTTCAATTCTACTAAGCTAATTTGATTCCTACTTCAGAAGACTGAATGTAAGGTAACCTTTTAAGTATTGAGACTGGCTAGAGCAGAATAAAGGGCCACATCAGACAAAAACCTTCCTTATGGAGAAACGAGGAAGAATTACAAATGGTCTTTTTCATTTTTTTCTTTGTTTACTCACAGGTAGTTTAACTCCTTGTCTCTATAAATTTCCCGACCACACCTTGAGTCATGGATTTCCTCCTATACACCAGCCTCTCCTGGCAGAGGACCCCACAGCTGCTGATTTCAAGCAGGAACTCAGGAGGAAAAGTAAATTGGTGGAAGAGCCAGTAGACATGGATTCTCCCGAGATCAGAGAACTTGAAAAGTTTGCCAATGAGTTTAAAGTAAGAAGAATTAAGTTAGGTATGTGCTTGTTAAAGGCAACAGGAAAAATAACCCGGATTGCAAATCTGTATTACTGTTAAATCTCTTATATGTGGCTCAAAAGTCTAAGATGATTCTCATTCTTCATCTCTACTGTGGACGTAGGTAGCTGTTATGGATATCCTCCAAAAACGTTTGTTTTCTTATAATTTCTCAAGAGCCTAAATTTATAATTTTTAAATTAATAATATTCTTTCAAAACTTTCCTACCTCAAGAATAGTTTTAACTGAATATTATCTGAACTTTTGAATAGGCCATACATTCATGTGATTCAAAAGTACAGAAGAATATAAGCGACATGTATCCCTTCTGCTTCCTTTTTCTGTTTATCACTGTTGAGTTCTTCTGTATCTTTCCAGCTATATCTCATGCCTACACAAGCATATATATATATATATCGTGTCAAACATGAGCATCATTTGAAGTTTTCAGTAGTAGCTTTTCCTAGAGCTTCTTTCCCTTTGTGGAGTTGTCAAGTTCCACTTTATGAATACACTGCAATTTATTTGACCAGTCCTCTACTGATGAAATTCAGGTGGTTTCCAGTCTTTGGCTATTAAAAACAATGCCACGATGATTAACCCTATAAATGTTACTTTGCACCCATATAAATATATGTGTAGGAAAAAAGTTAGAAGAATAATTGCTTGATCAAAAGTCTGTGTACTGGCAATTTTGATAGCGGTTGTCAAACAGGTCTGCAGAGACGTTGCACCGAATTTTGCTACCACCATGAGAATATTTTTCACCATCCCCTGACTATAGAAACTCCAAAAAGGCATGAGTTGTAAAAATCTATCTTTGTGTTTTATCCTTAATGATATCTCCAACACCTAGAAGAGTATAACTAGAACATAAATAAATAAATGCTGGTTGAAGAAACAGATACGCTGTTATTCTTTTAGAACTTTGCAAATCAGACAGGTCAAAGTGACATCTCATGGTTATTTCATTTAACGTTTATTTTATTATGAGTGTAAAGTGTATTATTTAACGTGTTCGACAATCATTTATATTTCCTTTTCCATGAACTATCTGTTCAGAGCCTTTGCTCATTTTTCTATTGAAGTGTTTTTAACATAAAACAACTATAACAATTAACTTTGGTAACATTGCATAAAGTTGTGTATATTTTTAATGGATTGAAATGATAGTTCAAACCTCTGCACTTGCAAAATGAACCATTGGTAATTTAATAGTATTATTTATTGATGGGCATCATGTGTAACCATTTTATACATATTGGTATATAGCCTTAGGTCTTGAAATAATATGTAGCTATTACATGTAGTAAACACAGTAGCAGGAATCTTTGTGAAATTCATTTTCAGTTTTCTATTTATATTGTGTGAAGGTTTCAAACTATATGTTGATTATTTCAGCTGTACTCTAAAAATGTTTGGGACAAACAATAGGGTCTTTTGTCTGAAGATAGAGGTATTACCAAAACTATAAAACAGGCTCAGAGGTATACATGAAATGTGTAATCATGACCTCTTAATAAATGTGTTTTTAGGGAAAGTAGCATCATTCTTAGTTGTATTTAATACCCCTCAACAATATCATTGAATCTTTTAGAGTTAAAATAAAAAACTTTGTGATATATAACCATATATTTGATGCATTATAGTTAATATATTAAAGATGTTTGAACATATATCATTTGATATTTAACAATAATATAAAAAGAGCCATAATTTTCAAGTGTCTTATAAAGTGTTTAGGAGATACCTAAACACTGGCTAAATATTATGAATGGCAGAGCTTTCTATCTGAATTCTTTTGATGACTAGATAAAAGTAATTTATTAACTAGGAGAAATATATTTTGAAGCTTTGGACAAGTACTTCAAAGTACAATGAACCTTGCTAAATAATTCTACTTTGCCAAGAATATATAGTTAAAAAACAGTATGTAATGGTTGACGAAGATACACAGATCTGTGTGACAGCAAACCAAAATTAACATTTCTTAGAAAGTTGGAGCTGATGGTCTTTATTGTCCCTTCACAGGATATACCCAAACAAATGTTGGGGAGGCCCTGGCAGCTGTGCACGGCTCTGAATTCAGTCAAACAACTATCTGCCGATTTGAAAATCTGCAGCTCAGCTTTAAAAATGCATGCAAACTGAAAGCAATATTATCCAAGTGGCTGGAGGAAGCTGAGCAAGTGGGAGGTACTGAACTGTCTCTCTGAAGGCTCTGCTGTTTTAACCTAACAATAATGGCTTCCATCAGTAGGATTCATGCTGAAGCAGGAGGTTTGAGGGATTTTTTTCCCTTTTCTCTTTGAGATTAAAAATAAACATCTTGCTACGTCACACTAAAAACAGCAACCAAAAAAAAAAGGGGGCAATGTAAGTATAGAAATAAATTTATTGAGGAAAGAATAACCTATATAAGGAAAGCTTACAAGGTAAGGTGGCATCAGCATGAAGTGGTAAAATACTTTTTTACACATCCATATTTTTGTCTCTCTTTTGTACTAAAAAAGCTGTATATGAATCACAAATAATAGTGTACCCAAAGCATTTGCACACACCAATCTTCCAAGTAAATACTATAAGCAGTTGCTAGATATGCGACTTAGGAGATAAAATTATCTACTCACACAACTGTCAGGGCTGGATAAAGAACGAGGTTTGAGAGTATCTACGGCAAGCATTCCAACAAAAGTAAAGTGAGGATATGGTTTGTAGAAAGTATCTTTGCAAGATTAATATTTATTTCTGGGTTAACATTTTTCTCTAAGTTCTGTAATAGAAAATGACTTAAACTGCAAAAATTTAAGACAAAAATGTCTGGCATTTTTATTTTGTATTGTTTTATCAAGAAAATTTGAAATCCAAATCTGGTAGTTTTTTGTAGAGTCTACTTCGTGTTTGTAATTATTTCTATTCCACCTTATAGCTTTGTACAATGAAAAAGTGGGAGCAAATGAAAGGAAAAGAAAACGAAGAACAACTATAAGGTATTCTTTATATAGACTTTCTAGAGGACAAAACTGGTATTTTATAAATGAAATGAGCATTTGATTGCAATGTAGGTATAACATAACATATTAATGTACGGTGATTTGGGAGGCCAAGGTGGCTGGATCACCTGAGGTCAGGAGTTTGAGACCAATCTGGCCAACATGGTGAAACTCTGTCTCTCCTATAAATACAAAAATTAGCCAGGCATGGTGGCACTTGCCTGTAATCCCAGGTACACAAGCTGAGGCAGAAGAATTGCTTGAACCCAGGAGGCAAAGTTTTCAGTGAGCTGAGATCACGCCATTGCACTCCAGTCTGGGCAACAAAAGTGAGACTCCATCTAAAAATAAATAAAATAAAGCAAAATAAAATAAAAAGATAAAAAATACAATTAAATATAAGGTGAATATAGTCAACTGAAGAACCAAGATAGGTTTTAAAAATCATAATTTAATACCTTAATTGTGAAAAATGGAGAGCTAATAATTTTTAGCATTTGACGGAAAATTATGTATTGATTGATTCAAGAACACTTTTGCTCCAGAAATTTTGAATAAAAACAGAAAGCAAACAATCATTTCTAAGAGAGTGGCCATATCTGCCGTCCTTTTAGATATAACTTATGGTTGTGGCAATGTAGTATCTATGATATCTGTATTATTTTAAAATACAACACTAGTAAGTGTTTCAGTCTCCTAAAGTTCAACATGACTTGCATTTCAACTCAAAAAGATTGCTTGTTGATCTTTCTGCAGTTTCTGTGAGACATGCTTAGGAAACGCTAAAAGACAGGTTTTCTTCTGTTCGGTTGGTTGCTCACTGGAGGTTTTCTTTATTGCGTGCAGTCCTAAATGATTTTGGGGAGAGATATAGAAATGACTGGGAAAATGCTCACTTTCTTTTCAAGAACTCAGTGCCCTCTTCTGGCACAAAGTGGAATAAACATAGAAAGCCTAGGTCCCCCTACTTATTTCTTTCTGTGACTCTCTTGTGTAACTGTACCTTGCATAAGACAACACATCTATCTACATATATAGCAAATTGTACATTCGTCCTTGTTAAAGTGTTTTGCAAGTGTGTTCAGAGTTTTAAAATTTCCTTTTCATCTTAATATTTAGGAAATTCAACCTAACAATTTTAATCTGTCAGAAACTTCACTAAAAACAACATAATTTCACCTCCTATCTCTACCCCCCTCAGTATTGCTGCTAAAGATGCGCTGGAGAGACACTTTGGAGAACAGAATAAACCGTCTTCTCAGGAGATCATGCGGATGGCTGAAGAACTGAATCTGGAGAAAGAAGTAGTAAGGGTTTGGTTTTGCAACCGGAGGCAGAGAGAAAAACGGGTGAAAACAAGTCTGAATCAGAGCTTATTTTCTATTTCTAAGGAGCATCTTGAGTGCAGATAAGATTTTCTATTGTGTAATAGTCTTTTCTTTTCTGTTTTATTCCTTTCTCATTCTCAACAAAAACAGAAATTAATTACTTAGTTGACTTAAAGTCATTTTATACCAATAGCTTTTATAGAAGCTTTACTTTTTCACTTTTTTTTAAAAAAAGAAATCAGCTATTTAAATTAATTTGATGGTATTTACTTAAATAATTATTCTCAGAAGCTACATCATACATTTTAAGCAAAATATATTAACAGTAATAAAACAATCTCTCTCTCACACACACACATGGATATATGAGTGTATGTATGGGTTTATAGGTTCCTTTTCCAAACTTTTTATTAGGTTTTTAATATTTAAGTCAGTAATGACACTAATTTAAAGCACATTGCAAGAAATATCCAATGTTCTGCTTACTGCCATCTCTACTAGTTTGTCTGAATTAAAAGTTTTGAACTTAGAGCCGGAGGTGTCTTATACTTGTATTACTACATTTAAGAATAAACCTCAATCAGAATCGACACATTTGAAGCTAAAATTTAGGGCATATAGCTGATAGAACTGTTTCAAAAGAGATTTGTCGAAATGTTAATTTACGATCATTTTAGTCTTTCTAAATATTAGCTTTTTGATATGTAGCTGTAGAAAATAATGTTTTATGGATTCTGAAGTCCCAAACCATTAGTCTGTAAGCTGCCACAGGATGGGAAGATATCTGGCTTGTTTGCTGTCATTTCTCCAGGGCTTGGGAAATTCTTGCTCATATAAGGCACACAATCTTTGTTAAATGAAGGAGTGTACTGTTAACAACGCTACAAATGTGAATGGTATCACCTAATTTTAAATTATAATGTTTTTGCAATCTCACCTTCTAGAAAATCATCCAGGTTTCTATGACAAGCCATGATCACTTTTGGTATAATGGATTAGAATCTGATTCACTATTTGTAAAAACTTTGACATATTGAGATTTTAATTCTGAGAACAGTATTGGAAAGGACATATTTATTTACAATATAAGTATGCATTTCCTTGACACATGCTAGCAGAAGCAAACTGTAATGGAATATCAACTTAATAGTGACTTTTTGCATTTTGAATGTAAATCAGCTGGCAATGTTTCTCTTATTTTATATAACAAAAGTGGTAATAATTAGAACAATTTTTATCGTTGCTTTAGAATGCTTACTAAATAAATTATACCATCCAGTCTGTTTTTATGATATTATTAAAGACCTAGAATTTTTACAGGTCATAATCTATGTAGATCATATATGTATGTAAAAATTTGATATACTACTAAGAAAGATAGACATTTAACTAACAAAACAGGTTTCAGTGGCCTAATGATCCATGTTTAAGCACACATTTAGCATCAAAAAGTATAAATACAACATTCTTAATGAAGAATAAATTCCAATTATTCAGCCACACGGGCATTCAAGTTCCTCTCTGCATAACTCAACATTTCTTTGCCTACTTAAAACACATTAACTGGGGAAGGGATTCTTTAGTTTCCTAAAAGCCAGATCATGTATACATAAATGTCTATGTATATATGCACTTTGAAACTTGCAAATAGAAATAAAATGTAATGTAATATAAATCTACATTAGTGATTGTTTCACATTTTAAATATAAATCATCTGGTAATATTTACTCTTACTTTATGTAGCAAATATAAGCATGTCTATATGCTTAGATCATTGTATGTCTAGATCATGATTAGTATTATCGAACATCTATCTATAAGGCCATTCTTTTCAAGTTTAGACACAACCAATATTGGGTACCAATAGTTTTTTCCTAAAAGAAATAATTTTCAGTTAATACTTACTATTGAAATAGCGAATTGTTATTACTATTGAGACAGAATCTCACTCTGTCACCCAGGCTGGAGCACAGTGGCATGACGATGGCTCACTGCAGCCTCGGCCTCCTGAGTAGCTGGGACTACAGGTGCCACACCATCATGCCTGGTTATATTTAAAATTTTTTGTAGAGACAGGGTCTCTTTATGTTGCCCAGCCTAATTGCGAACTCCTAAAGTGATCCTCCCTCCTCGGCCTCCCAAAGTGTTGGAATTACAAGCATGAACCACTGTGCCCAGTGAAATAGCAATTTTTTGCTCACTCATATGATTTGGCTGTGTCCCCACCCAAACTTCGTCTTGAAATGTAGTTCCCATAATCCCCACATGTGGTGGGAGAGACCAGGTGGAGATAATTGAATCTTAGGGGCAGTGTTCCTTATAGTGACTTGGTTCTCAAGTCACTATTGTGAGAACTGATAGTGAGATCTTATAGTCTAACAAGGGTCTTTCCCGTTGGCTGGACTCTCATTCTCTCTCCTGCCACCCTCGGAAAAGGCACCTTCCACCATAATTGTAAGGTTCCTGAGGCCTCCTACCCAGCTATGTGGAGCAGTGAGTCAATAAAACCTCTTCTTTATAAACTACCTAGTCTGAGATACTTCCTTATAACACTGAGAATGGACTAATACACTCACTTAGCTATTCATAAGTTAGCTAAATTGTAAATGGCAAATACTGGTATTTACTATTAACTCATTTTTATTAATTATGAGACTACTTTCTGACTACATTAAAATAATACTTTAATAGATTTTGATTAATCTTTAATACAATAGAAAATGGTTAATGCCATTTAGAATCCTAAACCTCAATTAAGCAAGTGACATATAATTTACTATGCGGACTGATCCGTTCATACTTTGGGGAATAAGTGGCAAAGTCTGACTTTAGCCATACAGTTTTTCCTTCTTATGCATTTGTGAGCTCTTTAAGTCTTCAGGAATTCAGTAGAGTTGTCCATTAAAATGGAAGAAAGATGTTTGTCACTTCCACTAGTTCAGTACATTCACCTTTACCTAGTAAAGTTGGCTGATAAACTCATTCATAGTTTACCTTTCCATCTCCAATGATGGTAAGGACGTGTCTAGTCAAATAAATATCTTCAGTGTTTGGGGATGGTTGGGGTGTGTGTGTATTTTCAAGTTGCTGGGGGAATGTGGTTTTCCAACAGTAGGGCGCACCTGAAATCCCGCTTCATAATCTTCAGGATTCCTTTAAGGCAACATCAACCCAGTCGACTCCTAAAAGAAGTAAGTTTAGAATGGTTTTGCATCCTCAGCTTCTACAGAGAGGAAACTGGAAAGGTGGTCTGCATTTCTGAACCTGCCAAAACCTTTTTATGCACAGTAATGGCATCCAAGGGACTAGTCATCATAGGTCTCAAACCAGGAAACCCTGGGCTGTTCAACATGTTGAAACTCCTGTTTTAACAGAGGAGTGTTTAAAATAAGAGCACATATTTAAATTAGGCCCACAGAGATCAGGTGAGACGTATGGCAACCAGGATGGTAGGAAATGCACATTTTGGCCAGAGAGAGTACCAGGTTTTCTCTAAAGGCATTCAAATGCACATAGTAAAGTATACATCACCGTATGTTTTATATATATACAGCCATAGACTGACAAATTCCTCTCTGGTCCACAGGGTCACAGTCTTGAGCCCTTTTCCATTAGCTCTTGCAATCATCGGATACTCCCCTCAGAGCACATAGTACAGAACACATCTGACAGGTGGTCATTTTATGTTTTCCAAGAACAGGTGTTATGATTAGTATTGACATTTCTGTATCACATTCTACTCTGGTACTCTGAATTTCCCCCCGTAAATAACTTAATTTGGTAGCACAACGTGGCTTTGGGCTATACCCTTGTCAGTAATGGAGATATTCTTCTATTCTTTCTATGGCCACCTCTTGTTTGATTACAAATGTTAAATTATTTTTTGTGCCTAAGGACATTAGAAAAAGCAGGTTAAAAAAACACAGCATTTTCATTAAGACCAATCTATAAGAATTCTTATTTCCTATTCCTTAAAGGCTCAAAGGGAACAGTTTTCTTTTTAGCAAAGGATAGGGTAACATTACAGATTTCAGTGGCAGTGATTGTGAAAACTACCACAAGAACACTTCACAAATGTAGCCCATCAGAATGACCACTCTGTCTTTTATATTCCAAATCTTCTGTGGTATCCATGTTTGACTGAAATGAAATAAATCACTAGGACTTATAAGTTTAAAAATAAAATTTAAAAATGTTTAATACCTGAAAACATTGGGGAAAAATTATTAATGTGAAACCATCAATTCTTAGGCTTACCACATTCACAAACATTAGTCTTGTACCAATTATTTCCTAAAAAGATAGTTTATTTTTTTGCTTTTTGTTTTAAATGTAAGCAGCAGAGTTTATCTAATTGTTCTTCCAGGAAAATAATAAAAAAAGATCATTTTTTTGAAAAATCACCAAATATGCATCAAATCTTTAATTTTAGCAGCAGCTAAAAAGGGTAAAAAAGATAAGAAAAGGACAACAATAATAAATCTTTATTGAGATTTTTTAACAAAATAATTTTTAAAAACAAAAGCCCCCACATGTAAACAAGAAAGTAAATAAGTTAGATGGCATTATTATGTACATTCAAGAATCAAAACATGTTCTGGTAAACATTCCATAATCCAGTAAAATGTTCTGACCCATCACTGTTAAGAGAAACTGTGTATCTAATACTATCAATAATGAAACCTAATCCTTGAACATTATACAATGGTTTATGGAATAAACTATACAGTTTAGCTTTCTGTTCCTCCTAGCAATCCATGTCACATGTATGCTAGTCCTAAGACGTATTCTGTCAATATTAGTCCAAAAGGTCCATCATCCCAAATTAACCAGGTTACACCTGTCTCCTCCGGTTTTCATGGCAGGATGTGTTAAAACCCATTTATCACAACGTCATTTCTCAAAACTTACCTAATCCTAAATTCTAACTAGTCTGGCACTCCTTCATTTTCTCTGTCTACACATTAATTAGACATCATGGCAATTTACCTTAAAAAATACTGCTAATACACATTGAGACAGTAATTTCTGGTGAAATTATAGTTTATCAAAAACATGTTAATTTTTATTTTAAAAATGTAGGTCAAGCATTGCCATACTTGTAGTACTTAATTGAGAATAATGGCCTGAATGTAGAATATTCAATATACACATTAATACGGTTCAAAGTTAAAGTTTAAATTATAATTCATAAAATCAATTCTAATACTCTCTTTTTGGATGGGCAGAATATATCGTTTTCTTACTATAAAGTGTTGTTTATTCACTGTCTATTTTTACTAATCATATTCAATTCACTTTTACAAGCTTAGAGAAGAGCCAGGATAATCTTTGCATGAGGCTTTGATTTCAGTTTAAAACGTAATTCTTATCTGCCAGCTGAAATAATTTAAAGATGTGCGCAACAGGTCTGCGTTATGTAAGGTAGGTGCCAAGTACATTTTGAAAGGTAATAAACTTACCAACTAGAATGTTCTCCCAAAGGAAAAAGAAAAAAGTTATGACAGTTTTTGTTTAAGACAGATGTTTAAACAGCACCCTTCTTTTTGACCATTTAAAAATAATTTGGCAGCTGTAACTGCCTATGGTCATAATACATGATCGCTTACAAAAGACAAGCAACAGATACAGAATTAACGATACACTTTTAATATTTTTACAACCCTCTTTAAGTTGGTGCCTAATGGCATTTAACAGGAGTTTATATTCAGTGAAAAAGATTTAGAACATAAACTGACATGAAGGAATATAATCTCTCTGTGCCATGCAGAAGAGAAATCAACTTTTTACACATCATCACTCCCAAACAGCTCTAATTAAAACCCAAACTGTTCCCATTTTTGCATCATTGTCATTCTTTGGCAAAAGATTCAAAATAGCCATGGGTTAGGAAACAACTGTTCACTCATGGTCTTCATTTTTTTTTTTTTTTTTTGCAAAATACATGTGTTTTGTAAAAGAAATCTGCACTGTGCTTGGTTTATACTACATAATTATAAGTAAGCAAAATATTGTGACGTTCTTTGACTAATCTACTCCTAAAGCCTTGAGTTGCCGTTCAATCTCTTCATCAGAAATTGTAGCCTTTGAAGTAGAGGCAGAAGGTAAACTTCCAGCAGCCGATGGAGCTTTGGCCATCTATAGTAAACACAGAGAAAGAAAACCGTGCATTAGGAAACATCTGGACTAGGACATGGGATGTGCTGTCC